TCCAGTGAAATATATTTATGTTTGTGGTTGTAATGTGACAAAATATGGAAAAGTTCAAGGGGTATGAATACTTTTGCAAACCACTGTATATAGCTTAAAAATATTGATTTATGTAATGACTCTAACCTCATGAAAAGCTTCATCCTGATATTGAGGACATTAATTTTATACTAGTTGTCTTTTTTCAGATGAATTATTTTAAGTTTTTTTTTATTTTAAGTAAAATATATATTCATATTTTTCAATTCTTAGTTTTTCAAAAAACTTTTAAATTTATAAGGTTCTACTAGTCTTTTATAGCTGGGAAATATTTAAATAAGCACAAAGCTTGGGACTCGAGGATAAAACTGGTGGGGCACAGCCCCCCGTGGCCACCCCCACTTGTTGCGCCCCTGGTGACTGACAGGTGATGTTCCACAGTGAAATGATGAGCTGGAGCACTGCGCATCTCTGTTAGATCTAACTGGAAGACTTTTCAAATTCGTCTTCTSAGGTAAACAGCTGATTTGTTGTCAGGCTGAGCTTTATGGGAGAAGTTTTCTGTTTGAAGCCGCTCGGCCCTGTTAGAGCCGCTGCTCTGTGCAGCTCTCTGCTGGATAGACAAACAGAGATTTAATTTATGCAACACTAATAGGGACAAGGCATTTCTTATTTTGTGAATTTTTTTGTTTTTAATAAGCGACACTGTTTGTTTTAGCAGTCCGCCTATGGTTATTGCAGCAGTGCCAGTATGAGGTGCGGTGTCACGATTTGCGCTCGGCCCTGCTGGTCGAGCGTCAACTGCCAAGATTTCTTCTTCTTCTGTTTATTTATGTACTTGAAGTTCTTCTTCTTCTGTTTATTTATGTACTTGAAATTCCTGTTTTCTTGTTAATAACCCATCTATAACGTCTTGCTTCTCCTTTTCCTTTTTTTCTCAGCGTGTATTTAAACTATCATTTTGAATTGTATCAAGTGAATTGTCAACACTGTATTGTAACAACTCATTATTACCTAAAAATGTGGCAACAGTGTAAATACACAAGTTGAAGCTTTTAATGCCTAACTTTTTTAACGAAATATAATGCCTTGTATTAGTTACAAAGCAGAATATTGTAATTTTCTCTACCATATATTATTCTAAAAGATACTTGCACTTAGTTTGTGTTTTGTTTTAGAAACTTGCAGTGGCACACCTGAAACAATTATAATTTAAAAGTTTTTACAAATGTGTTTGTACAACAGGATACAGATGTGAACATGTAGATCTTGAGGCTTATTGTCTTATATCAAAGCTAAGATATTTATGGTGGTTATAATTTGGACATGTAATATAATACAATTTTCAATAAAGGTCTATATACTAGTGGTGACAGAACAGGGAGTTTCATAATTGATGAAATTGACAATCAAGCAGGAAATATTTAATATTTGCTTGGAAAATGTGTTTTTTTTTTAACTCATGGTGGTGTATAACATGAATAAAGGCTTTTTTATTTTATTTTGGGGTATGTTTGTGTTTGCTTAGACTGGTAAGAATAATACCCATACTCATTTACAGCCCAGGTCCAGATTGAAAACTGCTTTAAGACAGTAAAGTTTGCAGTGCACTGTGTACTCAAGATCAGGTTTAGTGTTGTGTTTTTTAAGTACAATTATTAGGGCTTTATGAAGTGCTAACTAATCCATAATTATACCTTTGGTGCCAAATTTGGGAACCAAAGTGCAGCTTTTGACCCACAAAATAACAGTGGCAGAGACCTGTGCCCCCAGATATTTTTAGATGATAAACATTTGTATCAGGTCAACTAAACATGGGKATAGTAACAATATTTTTATACTACATTTATCCATTTTAAATAAACTAACCTCACTCCTTTGTAACAACTAAGGCAAAAATCGTTAATTCAGAAAATCTTTTCAGGACCCCACCTTGACGTTTCGGGACCCCCCAACTTTGGGAAACACTGCTTTAACATGATCTTGTATTCAAATGCAGTAAGATATACAGCATGTTTAAATTGAAACAGGAGAGCATTTTTCTCCCAACATTGTAACATTCACTTGTCAGAAAGTCAAAACACTTTAAAATTTACCCATAAATTGGTGAAAGCAGAATTTATAAAGCAGGTTTTCACAAAAGTAAAACATGTTATCATCACAGGCAAAGAAAAGCTGGGATGAACATAAAAATGCCAAACATTTAACAACAGAATGAAAAAATCGTGCCTTTTTTTAGCAATCATCAAAATATTTGAAAAAAAGTCACTTAACAGCTGCAGAAAAGGAAAACAGAAGAAATTAGTGTTTTTGCATAGCTCTCACTGCAGATTGCAAATCAAAAAACTTTTTTAATAAACCACCATCCTTGATAGGAAAACAACTTCAGTCAGCAGCAAGAGCAAGAGAAAGTGAGTAAAGTAAAAGTCATTTTGATGAGTTAACATTTCTACACAAGTTAAAACTACCAGGATGTTCAGATTAAAGTTTTTGAAGGGTAATGCAACAGTGAACACACACAGAGCTTCAAAACACACCAAGGTGGTCAACTCTTGGCTCAGCCCAAAGGTCACCATTAAAAAAATAAGATATGATGTTTATGACAACCTGCAAGAGCTGCAGTTTTAACTAAAAACACTTAAATATTCAAATGTGCCTTTAATTCCCCCAAAATGTACAGCAGGTGAGTACAAAGTGCATTTTGCAAGCCTCACCAAACAGTGCTTAAGCCTTTGATAGTAACAAAAAATGTCAGAATACCAACAGGAAAATACCACAAGAGAACACAGAATATAGTAATCTACCAACTTCTTTGTAAAATGTACTGATACTGTAACAAAACTTAGCCAGGGCTAGTTGCAAAAAAAATTAAGTTGTTTCATTTTCTGTTAAAAACTAAACATTCCGTACTTAAAATAAGAAGAATCCTGTGAAGAAAAAAAAACTTAGACACTGTGCAACAAATAATTCAAATTTAACAGATATGATTGATTTTAATCTGGACATTTGAACCCCCCAGATGAATACCAAAATCTCTGAAGTTAATAATAGTACCATTATATGGGTCTTTTTTTAAATGTCACATTTAAAACAGAGACTTTGAAATGATGGTAAATATAATCTGAAACTTTTGAATACCCTGAAATGAAGAACTAATTATGTTTCTTCAAAGAGACAATTAATACAAACATCATTAATTGATCGTAATTTTTGTGTTTCTTTTCTTGTCAACAAGAACAAAAGTTACTTTTTGATAATATCTGCAGGTTATTAAAAAAGGATGATATAAAAGTCAGAACATTTTTTTTCTTTCTTACAGAAGGAATGTATCAAACAGAAACTGCTTTGATATCGAAGCAGATAAAAAACAACTTTAAAGCAGCATTGAGCTCATTTTTTGGCCACTAGCTTGTAGAAATCATTTAATACAAACTTGCATTAACAGAGTTGATTTTTTTTAAGTTATGGCTCATTTATAATAATTATATTGGCAACTTTGACATTAATTTAAAGCCAAACATCTGGCTACTTTAAGACTCTTGAGTCCAACAACAATTGGACTTTCAGGTCAGATTTGGTCCACTAGAATTTTTAAATTAGCTCACACTCAGAAATGGCTTTGAACATTTTTATGCACTAAAGCGACGAGTACAAGCAGCTAAATAAAACAGCAGTGTCATAGATACAGTGGGGAAAATAAGTATTTAGTCAGTCACCAATTGTGCAAGTTCTCCCACTTAAAAAGATGAGAGAGGCCTGTAATTGACATCGAAGGTAGACCTCAACTATGAGAGACAAAATGTGAAAAAATTTGAGAAAATCATTTTGTCTGACTTTTAAAGAATTTTTTTGCAAATAATGGTGGAAAAGTGGGGTCAAAATGATCACAAGAACGGTGAGGAAAAATCCCAGAACCACAAGGGGGGATCTAGTGAATGA